TTATCTTTTTTATTTGTACTTGTTTAATAGAATAAAAAATGAAATAGATTAAAGATTAAATCAATAAATGTAATCGTGAATATTTGAACTTTGTTGCACACTTCTCATCGCAATGTCTATGACAATGCACATTTGCTTCTTGCACATTTGCACAACGAAACACGTAACAGTCGCGTTGCGCTCGTTACACTCTACAAAATTAGTTTGTTCAGTAACAGCCCAGCAGGGAGGTTTAAATGGATCCACCGAGTATACTAGCGCTATTAAATAGAAACACAATAAGATTATTGCGATTTTAATGTGCTTAAACGTACGTGATAGTATTCGAAATAAAATTGATCGATACTCACGTCGTTATTGTCATTTCTCATATTTAAATTGCAATAGCTTTTATAAATTGAATATTTCGCAGCACAACAAATATTTTATTTCAAAACAATATAGATTTTTACAAGCAGCAACACTGAACGTATTTCTATTTACAGATGTTTCTTTAGATTTATTTTCTCTTTATATATATATTTTTTTTTTCCTCTAAATATATATACATTTTTCTTTATTTTTCTAATATATCTGTGTTTTATTATCAAAATCTCTCTTATTTGATCACTATCACAATTAACTTTTTGTTTATTTCATAATTACAATATTTTCAAAATCCTTTATTTTTTATAAATAATATAAAAATAAAACATTTTGATAACGTTATCAGATAGAAAATACAAAAGATTGATTAATAACTATTCACAATTCAATCATTTATGCACTATTTAGTGTATTTTAGTTTGATGTATAGATTATTTTAGAAGGTTACCGTTATTATTTCACTGTTACTAACAAAAAATGTGATAATACTTTCGTAACATTTTACATATCAAGCTTACTAACGAAGCCGCAAAATGACTAGAGCCATCGCGCAATCCAAAGTAACGAAATTTTCAAGCGGGGCGCACTTGATGGACTATCAAAAACATATTAGATCCTCATTTGGAGGACAAGAATGAAAAAGCAGAAGGAACTCCGGGCCTTTAAAGATTTCCTGATTTTGATGGAATACAGGGGAAGCAGTTGCTTTTTTTATTCAAATAAGATAGCATAACAGCGCTGATCAGAATCCAGTCCTTCCTCCTTGTTCGCAAGGTCGCACGTAAATCTTCGACAGAATCCAGGCTAGAAAACGGGGGGATGAACGACATTTCCGCTCCCTGGCGCGATACTTATTCAAGCTGGGAGTAGAGCCGCAGGCTTTTCCCCGATCGAATTACTGAGCTGCTTTTTTCCGTCGTTCTGGATACAGTAACGTCTTGCTGGAATAACTTCATCTTACGGAATTTCGAAGCGGAATCTGGCAGAGTCATTCGAATTCATCTTCTCTCGAGTAAATCGATTTGGGTGAAAGGGTCGTTTACACGGACTAGATTATATAGGTAATATAAATTCCAAAGACTTTTAGAAATCCTTGGCAAGAAGAGTATTAAGATAAAAATTCTTAAATTAAAACACTTCGAATAAGCATGATTCATACGAATTCATACCGGCTACTACTATCACTGAGAAATCAATTTAATTGAATGAATTAATTTCTTGTTTGGATATAGGCAAAACAACAAATCCTTGGTTGATGCAATAAAATGATTTACTTGAAGCACAAAGCATTTGTTTATTATAATATTTTACTTGTTTCTACATTGAGGTTTGATAAATTTATTTATCAAAAATAAGCAAAATGCTAATAAATAAACGTTTTGCTTCAACTAAATTATTTTATTGCATCAAACAAGGATTTATTTGCCCATATTCAAATAAGAAATTAATTGATTCAACTAAATGGATTTCTCAGTATATCGGAAAATATTTTTACAGCAGATTGTAGAGTAAACAGGATTTGTTAGTTTGATACAAAGTTTTGATTACGTTCTTCTTAATCCTGTTCATTCAAGATAAGAAAAGCTGTTAGTAAATAAATATTTGTTTAATAACTTTTAGAAGATTAATGGAATTGAATTTTATATAAATATACATTTACTTTTTTTTACATATATCGCAAAGTATATAATGATAAAGAACGTATTGACTGTTGCTTTTGAGATTTTTTTATTGTTTTGAGTTAATTTAACATGTAATATAATTTCACATACAGAATTAATAATGCAAATGTTATGTTTTCATTTTACGAATGGACACCTTGTATAATCCGCATATGATGGTATCAAGTTGTTTTGGGTGCGTATGCAAATATAATTAATATCCCGATTTCGAGTTGTTATTGAAACACTGACGCAATGTATTAACGTAAATACCACTTGCAAACTTTCGAAATGCATTGATCAGTAGAATCAGATGAGATCAATTCCGATCAACACCGGAAACATTGATGCTCTTCTCTTCCTGTTTTATCTCGCTATCGATACAACTGAATTAGAATTATATTTATTATAGTTACAAAAAAATGAATAAAATTTACGAAAATAAAAAGATTTTAAAGAGTTATAAAATTATTTATTATAAAATAATTTCTGTATGTTGAAAAAGTTTACGTTTTAACATAATTTGTTTAATTAAACTTTAGTTCTTAAAGTTCTTTCTTCAAAATCTTCCTTAAATATTTAATTTTGATATTGTAAGACGTAACGTAATAAAAAATATTTTTAAACATATTCACATATTTAATCTTGAGATTGTGATATTTGTGTTTAAATAACATTATTATAATATGTTAACTTTCAAATATATAATTGGTTCGCAAGGATTACGTTTAATAAATATTCTAAGCATTTACGTTATAAGTACATTATATAAAAAACGCATTAATGTTGAGAAAGGAAAATTACGCGAATTTCTTTAGCCTTAGATATGTTGTAAACAGTTTTGTTAAGTCGGCAAAAAGACGCGACGTAAATGTCTCAGTTAGCTTTGTCCAAATTTGCCTTGCGATAACTCCATACACGTCTACTTTCTGCAAGTTAAATCGCTGACTTTCTCAATGAATTGTGACGTTGTATCTTTACATTTTATTATTCAGCTTTCTCCGCGGAGAAGCTTCGTGAACATTTATAAAATCAATTTTGGAAATACAAATCTATTTAGGATTTAGGAAAATGGATAATAAAATTGCAATTTTGCATTATTTTTATGAGAGTTACTCATTATACGTTTAGTATTAAATATAATAAAAATTTTTCTTTTTTTATTAATTATATATTAGATGAAAAATTAAAAATTAATCTTCATTTTTTATTTTATTTTCAATCAATTTTTTTTTATTATATCATAAAAACATGATATTGTAAATTTTCTAGTAATTCACAGTTAATTACAGCATAATAATAATTACTCGGAAATGAGTTCGTATCAAGATGACATGATAAAAGATCTAGTCGCAAGAATTAAATTGCAATTTTTGCATATAATATTTACTACAATCTAATTAGTAGCATTATGGAAATATTTGAATGTTTTTCTGCATTATGCAATAATAACTTCCTTTTTGCTCGTCTTTCCTTTAAAATCAGCTTGAATCAACACACCGTTGAGGAATTTGCGTGAATTTTCGTAGTTGGTCTTCGTTAGATACGTAATCCGTATGCAATTGCTCCTTTCTAATAAGAACTCTGTGTATCTAGTCATAAAACGAAAAGCTCGCGCGAGCAGCAAGTTAGTTGTCTGATGCTTTGTACTCGTAGAGTAGCAGTCTCTTTCTTGAAAAAGCAGCAACTACTATTCCGGCACATAATACTTCTCAGTACACCAGTACAACGAAATGTAATATAATGTCATTTCCTTATCTCTCATAGTATTCATAGTGTTTTCGTTTAGAAAAGAATACTTCTTTGGCTGAAGCATTATTAGTTCAAGAAGAATTCTTAATTAATATACTTTCGTAACAATTTATATTGAGCAGCCACTTAAATGGAAAATTATATTACATTTTAAAAACGGTGCAATTCTGTGCATAACTCACGCAAAGCTTATCAATGCGCCGTCATAGTTAGTTAGTAATTATTGGAATGAAAACACGGTCATGGCGTTTTGCAAGTTATCGGTAATGCGTGATCGAATATCCCCCGTCTCCTTCCCTTCATCCGGAAATAACTGGAACTCACGTTATTGAGTAAATGGCGGTAAATAATTGGATCGTTAACGAATAATCAAACCAGTTGTTCGTTCCCACAATTAATAAGTACATTTCGCAGTTCAGCTATAAAAGAAAAAAAGTGTCGGTGAATCAAAGTGAAGTTTTATGGAAAGATACAATAATAATTATACGATTAATTGCCGCTATTGTAATGAATTATTATAATCAACTGATCAATGTTTCTGTGTTTGAATATTTTAAGATCGTAGTATATAACGCAATAAAATTATTCGAACAATATTATCCGAAACTTGAAGAAACCTTGGCGCGCAAAGCCATTGGTATTTATTGAATTACGCAATATTCACTCCTGTTATGCAGGTAATGTCGATATATTCTCGGATATCAATATATATATATATA